CTGGCACCAGCCCTCCAGGAGAGCAGCCCCTGGGGGCCCCAGGCAGGCCGCTGGCCCAACTGGCCTGTGTCAGGCGGGGAAGCCGCTGGCCCTCCCGCTGCCCAGGGCTCCCCCAGGCCCCAAAGCGGTGCTTCCCACACGGCCCTTCCTCCTCCCCTGCCCTGGGCAGCTCTTCCACCTGGGCCTCCGGCCTGGCCGCCCTTCTCCCGCCGGCGGCCTGCACATACGGGGCTCCGGAGGACGGGAGGCTGACAGGTTCGGGGCGGGCGTGTCGCCGTGACGCTGTCCGGCTGTCCGGCTGTCCGGCGGCGGGCTGTTCGGGCTGGGGCCTCGACCTGGGTCAGGTAGACCCACCAGGTTCTGGTGAGGCCCAGCCGGGAGACTGTGCCGACCGGCACCCAGGGCGTCCCGGGCCACCTGGGACAAGTCAGTCCCGAAACTGGGAGCGGTGACAACTGGGTCTGCGTCCGAGTGAGTCAGCAGCGCTGAGCGTTGAGCTCCTGTCAAAGGTGTCTACTGGGCAAGGCGCTGCGCGTCCACGCGCCCTTTCTCCCTGCCCACCTGGTGCCCAGGTAGTGAGTGCCACCACGCCACACGCCACACGGCAGCCCCAGGTCAGACCCGCCAGCAGCGGCAGGAATCGCCACGTGTTGCCGACCGGTCCTGGGCCATCGCCAGCGGGCCCCACGCCCGAGGGCGCTCACGGAGCAGCGAGGAGTGGACGCCTGAGCTTTCTGGACACGCCGCGCCACGCCCACGCCCGGCGGCGGCCTCCTTGCGTTGACCAGCAGGGCCCTCTGCGCTCCCCACTCCCCACAGCAGCGTCTGGGCCGGGCGAGCCGGCCAGAGCGCTGGCCGGGAGGGCAGCTCCTTGTCTGTTGAGCCAGGAGATGTTTCTCGACGCCCCAACAGCTGGATGCAGACAGGGGTGGGTACACACCCAACTGAGGGTCCCAGCAGCAGGAAGGGCTCGTGGGGTGTGGGGGGTGGCCCAGGTTTTGGGGACTGAATTGAATCCATAAGTTGACGCTGCGATGCCCACGTGGCAGTGTCCGGGGGCAGGCCCTCCGGGAGGTGGCCAGGCCAGGTGAGCGCTGAGGGCGGTGGCATTGGAGTGGTGAGCGAGGGAGACAGGTCGCCCAGAGAGTGGACTTGGGAAAGTGCTCTTGCAGGCCGCCTAACGGGGTCAGTGCGGACGGCTGCCCTGCCTGCGTGCCTCCCAGTGCAGTAGGGAAACTGAGGCT